TCACTGTGGTTGAGATTAACGTCATCAGGATTTTCCTCTCTGTTATTTATTAAATCTTTTTCTTCCTCTCTCCCTCCCTCTCTCATGTATGAGGAGTACCTTGGTGATGGTCATGAAATAGAAGCTACATAAAAATAGTGAATTCATGTTTGGAGTCTTTCCTTCCCAACTTTGTTTATGGAGACAATATTAAGTGTAGCAGATCTCCAGTTTTATTTGTTTCTCTTTTCAAATCTGAGTTGGATTCTAGCAGAGGAAATATGTACATTTAAATTGGACTTGTGTAAATTCCCTAAATTCTAATTTTTTTTTCAGAAATTTCTGGTCAGCAGCAGCTCTGTGCAGAGGTAGCCTTCACTAGTAAGCCAGTATATATGTATGGTGTTAGTAAAACAGTGATAGAGGACAAGTAAAGGCCTCTGTATCTCAGCTACAAGGGGCAGAATGGAATTGAATTGCCTTTGCAGATCCCCTCTGCAGAACAAGTGTGTCTTTTGGTCAGTTTGTTGAGCTAAAGATAAACTTAGAGCTGTAGTCAGCTCTAGATCCTTAGATCTAGATGGCTTAGATCCTCCCACCTGCCTTTTGCTGGCTCTAAGCTCTCAGAAGTGCCTGTCTGGGAGGAAATGTTACTCAGTTTTAGACAGAATATAGTCTCTTGTGGTTTTTCCCCATAAAGGTATAATTTAGGAAAAGGAAATATTTAAGCCTAGAATTTTTATATTCAAAGAATAATTTTTTGTCTGAAAGCAATGTTTTCAGTGTGTCTGGCAAAGTGGAGCATCTCATTTTTGGTTGATGGCCATGAAAATGAACAGGATTTTTATCTGGGAGTTCATTAAATACTTCAGTTTTGCTTGGTCTTGAGATAGACTGGATATTAAGGGAAAAAGGAGGCACATGGATTGAGTGCAATAGTTGGAACAAGGGCTCTTTCCTCAGAGTCTCTGCCTGTGCATGTCTCTTTTGAAAGGTACTTCTCTGTGTTGCTTTTTTTATTTACTAGACAGGATTTACTGCATCAGCAGTCTTCAACACTGGAATAAAAGGACAAACTGAGAATGTAATGAAGTCTGTGGCGCAGTTTCTCTTAAAATGAAGAAATACTCTTTTGGGTTTTTTTGTTTGTTTTGTTTAGGCTGTTTATCACATGTAAGACTTTCAGGTGGATTCCAGCATTCCCAAGTTGTTTAAATCAAGACTCCTTTGTCTGTTTTCAAAGAACTTGGTTCCTAGGGAATCTTCATGAGCCCATTCAGGTGTGTTGAAATACACCCCTTTTTCTGTTGAACCACATTTCTATCTGAAATTTCAGTCACTGTGGAGGACTATCTTTAATTTTTTTTGTATTTCTTCAGAGTTAGTCTTTATTCTTAAACCTCCTTGACCTGGAAAGGCATTTGTATTGATCCCAACGTGTGGTCTCAGACTATGAAACTTAGGAGCTCAGAGCTGACCTTTGAATGTCTGGTGAATCCATCCTCATTTGTTTTAGCAGAAACAGGGACCTGGATATCTATTCTCTTTTTCCTTTGGAATCACCCATTTTTCTCCAGCCACTGCATCTGGGACAGATAATCTTTAAACTCTTCCGTTTTCTGAAAAACTTTCTACGTTTACCAGTCCTGTGGAATAACATGAATTGCAGATCTTCTAGTTATATGTGGACTGAGTTGGAGCTGTGTTGAGAAGGCAGCAACACCAAAAGAACCTTTAGGCTTTAAGAAAATTCAGTGTAATCATATGACCTGTGGAAAGCATCTCAGAAGGACTCTTTTGAAGGGATTTTTTAAAGGGATGGCTCAGTGGAAGATCTCTCAGTTGAGGCTTTCCTTTGTAAAAACTCCTTTGCAATGTGATTCCACAAATGATATTTCTACTTGCAGTGTTAGTATAGAATAACACTCTTTCATTCTTGTGTGTGAAATTACAGATAAGCTGATCCATAATAATTGATCTATACTGCAGCTGGACCAAATTTGCTACTCAGGAAGCAACTCAAGATGCAGCCTGAAAGTTTCTGCCTTCAAAAGATATAGCTAAAGATAAAAGCATGATAATGATCGTGTTTTGCTGATTATACATTTCCTTGGTCTTGGCACAATGCAGTTTTCAGATCTTAATGGCTTTGCTGTATTCTGACTACATTTGCTAGTGTGTTGTGGGCATGTTCAGTAACACCTTGAGCAAACCAGGCCATGCACCAGAGTGGTCAATTTTTGGGCATTAATTAATGAAAGTGGTGCAGGGGAGTGACTGCAGCAGTTGTAGGACTAGTAGTTCATCAAAAAATACCATTCGTGCATTAACTCTGTTCCTGAGTAACAACCTGCCATCCATATGTTTCTGGCTTATCCTTGCAACTCATTTTCTAAATAAAGTTGAAACCTAACTAATATGGTATTGAGTCCCTTGCTGTTACAGTTTGTCAGACTTTCCAATAAAAGGCCTGTGTATGATGGCTTCATGCTTTTGGTATGTGTCAGAAATAGTTCTATGCATATACATTACAAAATTAGGATTTAATTTTTGTTGTGTAGCCATAAAAAATTAGATTATATAATTATTATGTTTTCCTTTCTTATCTTTTATATTTTTAACATAATTTTTGAGGATGCCACAGGGCACTCCTGCTGTGAATTAGCTGCAATAAACTCTCTTAAACAGATAAACATCAAAGAGCAGTAATGTTTTAAAATGAAGCAACCTGCATTCAAAATCCAATTGCTTTATGTTGTAGATATTGAATGCTTCAGCTGCTAAAAGTGGATGGGGTTTCTCAAGGCACAGAGGAGTTGCATTAGTAGGATTGTAATGCAACAGGGACCATTTGAGTGAAGTTGCTAGCAAAAACCATTTGTTTTCACAGGAATAGGCTTCCTTCTATTTTTCTTCTTCCTTATGGAAAATATCAAGATATGAATAAATTCTCTGCTACCAGGAATTCTGCACTTGTATTTAAACTGTTCTCATTGAACGGGTTCATAAAATCTTGTGGACTTCATGGTGAATTCTTGTGGATAATTGATTAACTGCAAACTTCAGTAGGAATATCAGCTAAATAAATTCCTTTCTAAATAGTTTAGGGGATTTTCTGTAGTCTGGCATTCATGTTGAACTGAGGCAGTTGCTGTAGCTGCTACTAGAACTGAAGCACCAAGCCTAGATTCTATTGAAATGCTGCCAATGTGATAAAAGGCCCAAATTTGCATTTTGGGACATCTACTTCATATAACTAAGGCACTCCACCTCCTAAGGCTGAGGCTGCTTGGAAAAGCCAACTCCTGTCAGTAATGTGAATACAGGATCAGAAAAGCAGGCACCCACATTGCCCAAAAAATACTCTGTGAAAGTTAATAAGACCTCACACATGGACTGTAGGATGTTTAGGGTCTTACCATCAAAGGTTATGTTTGCCTTGAGCTCTTCAAGATTCTCCAGTTTTCAACCTGACCTTGGTAGCAGATGTGCTTTGCAGGTGCAAAGGTGAAAATATTTATATTTGGGTACACAGCTGCATTTGGTTGCTCCGTGCCTTTATTGCTTCTTTAGCTGTGTTGCCTCTTTCATATAGTTTCTTTCATATAGTTTTCTGATGATCTGGGGTCCTGAAACAATGGTCAATAAATTGGTATTTAGTTTAGTTTTAACTTGAAGTAGATATCAGGATGAGGCAAGAACAGAGCTGAGTAAAGCTCCCTATTTCTTTTTTTCTTCTTAAAGCAAAATCTGTGTTGAAAGATGCAACCTCCCTGATACAGTAATTACAGGGTGCTATCCTTAGTGATGTTAAATAGCTCCCTTTAGTGTATCTGTTTGATCTTGAGCTGTGAATTCCCATTCTTTCGTGGGTGTAACTGTAAACAAGAGGATTAACATTGCTTCAGTGATGTTTTGCTTAAGCGAATCAAAGTTGAAAGGGTGTCTTGAATATCTGTAGAAAGCTTTGTGTGTTGCAGGGTTCCTGTTCTATATATATGCACAGTGCACCTTTCATGGTAAACTTCAGTAATGCTTTCAAGTTTGAGTTCATTTTAAGCTTTTTATATTTTGGTTGGTTTTGTGGGCTATTGTGAGTGGGATCCTCTGGCTCTGTGGTAGTGACCACAAAGAGGCTGTGAAGTTCCAATCTATTATAGCCATCCTTTCAGCTGCATAATTTTTTTCAAGACCTGTCATGGAGAACAGATTCTCACTTTAAGAGGTTTGCCAAATTTTAGGCTTTCCTAAAGTGCAGTGATGGCAAGCAGTTAATACACCAGGGATGTGAGTCCCTAGGAGAGTGGAGTCCTAAACCACTGTCTTCTGTTTGTGCTTGGAATGCAAGCAGAAGAAGGACTGTTTCTTGAGGGGAAGGTCTGATGGCATTCCATGGCCTGGTGCCGGTGTGGGTTGTCCATCATATCCATAAGGCTCCTCATGTGTTGTTGCTAACCTAGTGCAGGACACTGAAAAGGAAATAAGAAAATGGGGAGAGAAGAGTGTGAATATTTTCAGTTCCAGTCACTACCTGACATGGAGAGGCTCCTGTGTCATGCCATCAGCTGTGAGAAAGGAGAGGAAGGAGCAGCATCCCTAGAAACTTGTCCCTCTGCAGGACTCCCCCCACTGCTCATCCACTCTTCAGCAGCCAAAATCTGCCATTAGAGCACCTTCTGCACATGCATTTTTTAAATCAGGACCTTAATTAGAAAATACAGTCCTCCCCCCTTCCCCTAGTTATCCAACTAAAAGCCCAATATCATGATTCTTTTTTTTTTAACCTTAACTCAGCCAGATTCTTACTATGCCTGACACCTCTCTGTGACATGATTGATGTATTGAGGGTTTCCCTGTTACCTCCTACCTTCATCTGATATGGCACTCAGAGCTTGTCAGTGTCAGAAGCTACATCTGCCTCTTCAGTTGTGGCAGGAGCCCAAACCCTGTCTCTTGGAGGGGACTCACTCCTCCATGATTCCTTTCCAGGCTGTCAGTCGAGTCTGTTGTTTTCGTTTCAGCATGCCTGGTTGCTCTGATCAGAAGGACGCACTCTGCTCTGCTTGGAAGCAGTACTTTCAGAGGACACCAGGAGTTATGTGGGCCCTGTTTTCCTTCCTGTGGAGGAAGAAGCATTCACGTTCACATGCTATTCGTTGTTTCGAGATTGTTTAAGAAGCCACCGCTGTTGAACTAGCAGGGGATCTTTCCTTCAGTGAACTTTGCCAGAGCAGCTGATTGGTGTGCCCCAGCTGCATGCCATCATTTTCTTGGGAAAGTTTTAAGACTGTCAGAAAAATGAACATCTTCTTTCCTAGCCCTTATTGACGTGTATGGGCTTTGCTGGCCTTTCCAACTCCAGTGTGGGAGGGGTTGTTTGTTTTCCTTTTAAATGTTATCCTGCCATCCTCCTCTTTTAACAATGCTGTATATACATGAAGACTTGCTGTGTATTCAGTGTGGCACATGGATGGAGAGGATGCTTTGAACTGCTTTTGCAACAATGGATTCTGCTTGACTGATAATGAAACCATGGGTTAGACCTCAGGGAGGTGAGTCATATGTTAATTTGTTCTTGACGTTTCCTTGGTATGTTAAAAGCTGTGATCTTTCAGAAAAATCTCTTATTTTATTTTTTTTTTTGAAGCTACTTCCTGGGGCCATGGCAGATGCTGTTTTGGAATGGCACCCAATGAGTTGTTTAATGTAGTTCAGTGCTTGGTTGGCATTCTGCTATTGTGCGAATATTTTTGGTACTTCTTTTACCACAAAGATATTTTATTAAGAGTGGCACATTGTTATACACATGTGGTGCTACGAAGCTCCAGAATATGCATGGGACATAATGTTGAGCTGCAGAAACACAATAGCAATGAGTCACTGAAATCCCTTGTTGGTCACAAGAGTTTGAACAACTGCAGTGATAATCTTTTGAGACAATGTACAACTCCAGTGGTATTTGCTATCTGCTCTGTGGTCTCCCTCAGTTAGCTGCTTGATTGGCTTGGCTTTGTGGGTATCCTAATCATGTTGGCACAGTCACTTTGATTAACAGAGACATGCAACTTGGAAATCTCTAGGCTTGCACCGACCTCAATAAAGTTGTGTGCTTTTTCTCTTTCCAAATTTCAGCAGCTTCCTGAGGGCACAAGAAATGTTTTGCACAGCTTTCCATGATGGTTGGTGAATATTGAAATGTGGGGGTCAGAGGAGCCCATCTGCTTCTCTGTAAATTGTAGGCACAGAAAAAGAAAGAGTAAATAAATTAAAAAAAAAAAAAGAAAGAAGAAGGGGTGAATGCAGGATCCTTAAATCTGTGTTATTTTTTCATGGCCTTTCCCATAGGTCTCAGGTCACTTTAAGCATTAGTTTGAGCCCTTTCTTTGGTAATACAAGAGAGCAGTCTCATCAGCATTACTTCATTTGTGCCTAATCTGGCCAATCTTCTCCTGTTACATCTACAGTATATTTCTAGGTGTCATGCTGAATGCTGTCTTGGTCTTATTTAATTTCTATGCAGCTCTGTCTTTCGAGAGAGTAGGCTTGTTTTTATAGCCAGGTAAACAGAATTGCAGGTCCTTTGGCAAAATGAGGGAAAGCTTAATTCCTATTATGCCTCAGACCAGAAGAAATAGAAGTTTAATATCTCATATTACACTTAAGGAAACTGTGAGGATATGAAATCCATGTGGTGGTTTTACTAGGGGTTATTCCTCTGCAAGTTGGTTCTTGACCATATTCCCCAGTCTTCTACTTGTGTTTTTTAAGGAGATAAAATATTTTCAATGGCCATTATCTACTGCTATGTGGTCCTTGAATTGCCATCTCCATCACTGGAGGTTAGGATGTCTTCTAAAAGACAGCTCAGTCAAGCCAGAAGGATAAGAATTTAACTTAGATACTGTGGAAAGCTGAGTGTCCATGCTGAAATTTGAAATAAAATGTGATTTTGGAGGGAGACATTCCCATCTATCCACAGACATATGTTTTTAAAGTATGCTTTAGATGAGGTAGTTATCCCAGCTGTTGAAAGTATTTTTTGTAGAGAGAGTTTGTAGATCCTCGCAGTTTTCATTAAGGTAGTTTCCAGGACCTATTTGAGAGGTCTCTCTGTTTCCAAAAACCTTAAGCTTGTTTCTTGGAGCCCCCTCTCCTCCTTAGCTCAGCTCTGCCTTGTCTCACAGGGGTTACCAGGTCACATGCGCATTTCAGGGGAGTCATCATTCAAATTTAAAACCTTCCCATCCCCTCTCTGTGATGTTGTTGTTAGGGGTCAAACCTCATGCTTCCATTTCTCATTGAAGAAATTGTTACTTAAAATATGCCACAACACCTGCTTCCTTGACCCACTTTGCCTTAAGGCCTTTTTTATAAGATTCCTTTTTTTTTTTCATAGTGGTAAAGAGATGAGGGATCCTGAGGTCACTGTGCCATGTGGGACAACTGAATGTGCCAAAGATTGTGAACATGAGTCTTCTCACAAGTGAGTTGTTTCCTGGTGTTGAAATTTTTGCCATTTACAGTTATCCTTCCATTCCTTAAACATCTTTTAGGTCTTTAAAAATTATTCTTTAGTTGGAATTTATAGTAATAACCTGTTCTTACCCAAAATAATTGTGTTTATTAGTGATTACTTTGAATCATTCTAGGAATAGGATCTGCATTTTGAATCTTTTTAGGAAAAGGAAGGGAATCACATTTTTTAGCTTGTTTTGCCTTGTTATGAAAAAGTCCATTTCATTCTGTCTTTTTCTGTCTCCTCCTCCTTTTGTCTCTTCATTCACAAGAACATTTGGACTTACAGAGAAAAGTCATTTCAAAATAATTTTGTTTTTTATTATTATAGAAGCTGCTGTCTTGTCATGCATATTAATTTGACACTGTTGATCCTATACAAACACATTTCTGCTACTGACTTCTTAGGAATGCAAGTATTTTAAATATATCAGTGTAAACAGAGTTTGTTAGACTGATACCGTAGTGCACACATCACTTGATTAAATCACCACTTATTGCATGTGACACCTGCTTTTGTGTTCTAAGTTATTTGAGCTGGGGAAAGTTAAGCACACAGTGGCTATGAAAATAATCTTGTTTTCAACTACAAGCTGGCTTTTTGCCTCTCTTTGAGTACTCTGACTGTAGAATGAGACATTTTTTCACTTTGAAGGGAACTGGTGTTACACTACAGAAGAATTTAAGACACTTGAATAACATGCTAAGAAAAGATACATAAGCATCTATATGAGAATATGATTGTTTCTTTAAGGAAAGATCAAAAAAGGGGAGAGGTGGAGCTCTCCTTTGTTTCATTTCTGCATGTTATCAAAATGAACATCCAGTGAGGATACTGCCTTCTGCTCTGGGCAGGACCCTGTCTGCTATAAGGAACAGAAAAAACCCAGGGGAATCTACACAAATTCAGAGGATTTTGTACCTTGCATTTGTGAACTGAAGCTGGAATTGCCCCTCATTTTAACAAAGGATATTTTCCTGTTACTTTGGCTGGGAATTGAGCGTGCAATTTTATCTCAGTGTCACGCTACTGCAGATGCTGGATGGGAAAAAGAGGCCTTCAAATGGAGTTGAAAATACTGCAACCAAAACTGGACAGCTTGGGCTGCTGAAAACCTTTTGCATGAAGCCCTGGCTCCCTTAAAGTAGCTGGCAGTGCTCCCATTGAATTCAGTACAGCCAAAGGATTTTGCCTTTATATATTTATTCTGATTTATGAAAAGCTCAGTCATCGCGGTATCTAAGCACTGAGATACGGTATTTAGTTACAAACAATCATTTTAAGAGTGATGCCAAAATCTACACATGCATTAGACTTGGAGATTAAAGAACATGGAGCTTTGGTTGCATGTGCTTCTCCAGTTGTAATTATTCTTCATTCTAAACACTGCAGACCTCCGTGCTGTTGGGCACAGAGGGGCTCCAGACTGAGACAAATCAGAAAGATTATGTGATACAGTAAATAGCTATAAATTAATGGATCTTGCTGAGGTGCCAGTAACTACCTTGGTTTCCCTGTCAGCCCCAGAGGAATGAATAATTCCTCAGATTTTAGTCAGTCATTGCAGGAAATTATTTTAATCTTCTGCATTTTTTAATGGAAACTGTTTACCTTGCAGTAACTTGTACAGCTCTCCTCTCTGATGCTGCATTACAATAACTTGCAGCAGAAGAAAGCTGGTGGAGTTCAAGTGAAATCTATCCCAAGGAAAGAGTATCCAGAGCAGCTGGTTTCATTTATATATTTTATTTCTGAAGCTCATGAGCATTCCAGTGAGAGATGGTATAATTTATTTAAATCAAATTATGAAACACTATACTTTTTATTCTAAAATCCACTTTTCTGGCATTCAATTCTGTAATGTATCACTCACAGGTAATGCTGGTTGAAGTTGAAGAGGCTGAAAAATTCTCTGCATCATGCAGTCCATTGCTGCAGTGTTGAAGTCAAAGTTTCTGTTTGTAACAGAATCATTGTATCATTAAGGAATTGAGGCTCTATTGCTTTAGGTAGATGCAAAACCGTGTTCCTTGAATTTCTTAGTAATAGAAGTTTTCCTTGGTTTTTGGAGGAACATCTTAGTTCAGCTGATATAAGTGTACACAGAACAAATACATGGCAAGCAGAACAGAGCTGTTTTTGGAAAGGGATAACGTTGGACATTCATTGCAGCACAGGTTAACCTGCATTTTAAGAGGTTCAAAATATTCAGTGTTCAATTGTTCACTCAACTTTCTAAGTGTTTGCTGAGGCTGAAGACCTTGTTAGTGTGTTAAAAGCTTGCCAGAGTGTTTGCTTTCCCTAATAACTTCTGAACTGGCTTATTTAAACCAGATTTTATGGAGGTTATGAAATTCCTATAAATTTTCTGAAAAAATTTTTGGCTGAGCAGAAAGAAGAGGGAACAACTGGTGCTACCAGTAATGGAAAGGCTGCAGCTGGAGCTCAATTGCTCTCTTCTTAGGTTTGGCCACCCAGCTTGGCTGGCTGGGAGAAACACTGGGGTATGGTGCATGTGTGCAGCTCTGATCTAGGGCCAGCAGATACCTACCTGTGCAGGAGGCATCAGCTGTGAGCAGGTAGATGTGTCTGCAGAGGAAATGTGTCCTCCATAAGCAGCGCAACAAAGGAACAAAGGTACTGGAGAGCATCCAGAGGAGGGCAACTAAGCTGTGAAAAGGTCTGGAACACAGTTCTGATGAGGAGCAGCTGAGGGAGCTGGGGGTGTTTAGCCTAGAAGAAAGGAGGCTCAGGGGAGACCTTATCACTCTCTACAACCCTGAAAGGAGGTTGTAGTCAGGTGTCAGTCTTTTCTCCAAGATAGTTAGTGGTAGGATGAGAGGAAATGGCCTCAAGTTGTGCCAGGGGAAGTTGAGATAGAACATTAGGAAAAAAAATTCTCATGGGAAGAGTTATAAAGCACTGCAGCAGGCTTCCCAGGGAAGTGGTGGCCATCCCTGGAAATATTAAGAAAATTACTGGATATGGCACTTGATGACATGGTTTGATGGTGAACGTGGTGGTGGTGCTGGGTTAATGGTTGGACTCGATGATTTAAGAGGTCTTTTCCCACTTTAAAGTTTCCATGATTCTGTGTCAACCTTACACAAATGACAATGTGATGATACGCTTTAGAGATCTCTGTAACTCCACTATTTCCACTGCCTGGTTTGAAGCAGCTGCTGGAGGATGGCTGGGGACATTTGCCCTGACCTCACTGGCATCACACTGCTGCACACAAGCACATTGGAGCTGCCTGTGACTCACAGCCTGGGTTAAGGTACAGGACAGTAGATTGGGAGGTGATATGGCGGCCGGGGAAACAATTGTACCTGGAGGCAAATTGCTTCACTAGGGGGTGAGTGTTACTAGCTGTAAGAAGCCAGTATTACAAAACACCATGACAACAGATTTGTATTTATTTACTGGCACCCACTCAAATTGAATGTGTATCTCTGAGCAGTGTCAAGTTTCAGAAGGGCTGGCACTTTTCCATAGAATCCAAGTGCTGACTGGTGCATGTGGACATGGGCATGGTTCTGTGTTTTACACTTCTGTCCCTTGCTCTTTGCAGGGCCTGTGGGTTTGGGGCATTCATTTCCTGGGATAGGCTAGTGTGGAAGCAGGAGTTTCCATCTTTGAAAAGCCCTTTTCTAGAAGCTGTTAAAGCAAATGCTTTGTGCACTGCCCTTACCAAAAGCTTGATGTGGGATGACGGCCTTTTCAAGGTTTCGCCTCTTTTTTTATTTTCCCCTCCAGTAGGAACTTTTATGCCTGGGTATATCCACTGTGAGCCAAACTTGTGTTGCGTTTCTCAGGTCCTCAGTTTGTGTGTTTGGGAACCACACAGGTAATTTTTGTTCAGTCCTCTAAGAGGAGTCCCTATCAGTGATGATGTATCTGTGTTTCCTTCACAGCCTCTGTTGATGATGTTGGAGAAAGCATTTGTCCTGGACAAGATGGTTCTCAGCTCCTGTAACTCAAATCTGTGCTTATTCTGGGGGACCTTTCAAATAAGTTTCTCAGTGGTCAACAATTGTATTAGCTATTTCTCTTGGCTTAGGAATAGACTGAGAGACCTGCTTTAAAAAAGGTCTACAGTCATAAATAATCCATTCTTATCAGTGTTTATACCATCACTAGCTGGAGTTGAAACTATTCCCAGTTCAACATCTGATTTGCCAATACTCTGAGCAGTCTTTCAAGGTCAGTGAAGTGGCATCATAAATGAAGTATAAAATGTATCATACCAGTGGTTTACAACAAGCCCACAGCACAGCTCAGTTGGTTGATGGGCCATCTCTGTTTATGTTAGCTGCTAAAAACTCATGCACACAGACATACTAAGTACTGATGCCATCAAATGTGGTCAACACAGACAGTTCAGCCTGCAAAAGTGAGCCAGAAAAGGCATTAAAATGCTTAGTCTATTACATACTTCCTTATTTTTGTCATTTTGACATTTATGTGTTGTATCATTGAGGCTTTTGAAAAAGAAGACACAATTCCTGAAGCAAACTGAACGGAGATGTTCAGTTTATAATGCCACAGCCGTCTGGTTTGCATTTAATTCCAATTGACCACCTGCATGCTGTTAACCTCTGGAAGGTTACTGTGATCACAGTTGTTGTTGTTTATTTAAAAGTTCTGTAGCTCAAGGAAAATGTTAGTAATCAGTTACTTAACCTACACTGTTTACTGATCTCATTGAACTTGCAGATGCAGCTTTGCTGGCCAGTGAAAACTGGGAGTTGTCTGGTGCCAGTAATAGCTTGCACGTATTTTTCAGGCAGGAGTAGGTTGAGCAATTAAAATAATTTTATTTTTTAATAAATATGCTCTTTGTCTGTTGGCTATTTGTCTAATATGTCAAAATCCAAAATATAACTTAGAGCATGTGGAAGGTAGCTCTAAAGGAGCCAAACTTTCACAGAGGCATGCTTGAGTTGTGAATGCTGCTGGC